TTTACTGTAAGAGTGACAGAGCACTGGAACAGACTGCCCAGGGAGGTTGTGGAGTCTCCTTCACTGGAGACATTCAAAACCCACCTGGATGCGTTCCTGTGTGATGTGCTCTAGGTGATCCTGCTCTGGCAGGGGGGTTGGACTAGATGATCTTTCGAGGTCCCTTCCAACCCCTAGGATTCTGTGATTTGCCTTGGTAAATAAATAAAGTTGGGAAAATATGCCTTGATCTTACTGAAAATCTCTATGATTTTAGCGTTGTATTGTTGTGATAGTTCTTAATAATTCTGGAGTAAGGAAAAAGGTTGAATGAACCATACTTAACAGCACTTCCCTGCCATTCCTCTTCTCAGCAATTTGTGATGCCTTACACTTCTTAATGTATGTAAAAAGCTTTCTGAGGTTTAGTGTGATATTCTGCTAGATAGCAAAGATTGAGAAGGGTAGAGACCAAGGAAAAGATTAATCAGACATATTCCACTTGCAGATCTAGAGACTTGTTTATGTGCACCTTAAATCTTTTATTTAAATACTAACCTATGTAATGAGTTGTAAACTTTTCAAGTATGAGAATAAAAGCTTTGCTAGCACGTTATAGATAAAAGAGTTACTGGAGTATGCAGGGGATAGAAAGTGTACAGTGTTTTTGAAGGGGAAAAAATAACTAGATTATTAAGTTTGTTCACCTAGGCTAGTCAGAAAGCCATACAATATTTGAAAAGAATACTTACTAAGGACAGAACAAGTAATGTTCCTTGAAAGAATGTAGAAATTTTCTGGAATGAAAATGTGCTAAATATTTAGTTGCTCATTGATACATATATCCTGAAATTTAAGCTCTGAAAACAGTCTACAGATTATGGTTTTCTGATAGCTGTGGCAGAATATGATTTTTCCAGCTGTGGGAAGAATTGTGACTGGCCTGCCAGTTTGCAGAATGGTTCCACAAAGAACATACTCTTGAATCACGGTTTTGCACCAGTTTTGTAGAGTAAAATAATTTTTTTGCCAGTGCAAAAAGGAGGCATTGTTTCTGAAATTATTTGTTCCAGCAGAGACTTCTGAAAGAAGATAAAGTGAGTTAATTTCTCTCTAATTTTTGTTAATTCTGTGCCTCAGAAGGGTAACGTATCTCGATTCCATAAGTTAAGAATAATCCTTAATGAAACAAAAGCACCTCTATCTTCAGTAAATGTGCTTTGGCCTGTGCATGAAGGAAGGTACTACTACAGAGTCAAAAAGAATTCAACACGAAACTTAAAAGAATAGTTGATGTTATTTTAATGGAGTTAAAGTGTTTTCATAGAACCAGAAGAGATAAGACTTTAAAAATTCCTTGAATATTACATTTTATTTTACAGTCGTGGTTTGGGCCCAACATGACAACAAAGGAACATCCACATGGCTGCTCACTCAACTTCCCCCTCCCACACACACACACTCTGGGATGAGGAGGACAAAGCTCATGGGTTGAGACAAAGGACAAGGAGGGTTCTTCACCGATTAAGGTCCCGGGGAAAAAAATAATAATTTCACACTAATCAAACACACACAGGACACAGACAACACAAAGAGCAAAGAGCAGGGCTTGCATATGTTACCCCACCCCTCCCTTCTTTCCCCGGCCCAAATCACTTTGTTCCCAGTTTCTCTCCCTCCTTCCCCCCAGCGGCAC